AGGGGTGCCCGGGAAGGGGGAGGGAAGCGGGGAGGGCCGCGCAGAGGTGGGGGCGAACTCAGTGAGGCTCCCGGGGTGGGAGGGCCGGGAATTGTGGGGGAAGGGAGTGGTGTGGAGGCCCAAGTTGGAGGGAAGGAAGGGAGCGAGCGGGGCGGAGCGGGAGAAGGGCGGAAAGGGTGGCCGAGCGCGGGCGGAGGACTGAGAAGGGGCGGCGCGGGCCGGAACCTCGAGGTATGTGCGGGAAGGGGCTCTTCCCCGGGTTGGGAGGGAGCCCAGCCCGCGAGGCTTGCGGGAGCGGAGTGGAACTGGAATCCAGGAAGTAGCGGGAGTAGCCGAAAGGGGGCTTCGGTGTGGGGTAGGCGGGGAATAGGACTGTGAGGTTTGTTTCAGGGGACATTTTAAATTATGGGGTGGGGGTTGCTGGGAGAGGTCATTTGGAGGGTGGTTGGAGAGTGACCTCAGGTACTTTTGTGGGTGAAGCCGAGAGACGAGTGAGGTGGGATCCTGAAGGAGCAAAGTACTTTAGAACCGGGAACAATTTGAAGAATGAGGGTGGTAGAGAAAGGATTTAAAGAATAGTCTTTGGGAGGAGGGTGAACGGTTTGGAAGACCACTCCGGTGGGGGGTGTGAAGGAAAGCAATTTAAAGAATAGTTTCCTTGGGATGTAGGAGAAAGGGTTAAACAGTTTGGTAAACAGTGCCAGCGAAAGTCGGGGGGTAGTTTGGAGGGGGTTGGAGAAGATTGGGGGAAGAGGGTAGAAAAGTCCCAGAAACTGAGTGGGACTAGCAATAGGAAGTGTTATAGCTTTAGCTGAAAGGGTGGGAGGGGGCCAGAGGAGAGGGTGGAGAAAATGGGGGAGGGTGAGAGGAAAGTCCAGCATAGAGGGAGACCCCAAGCTGGGCTAGAAAGGAAGGGTGTTTGGGGAAGGTAGGGTGCCATAGCAATAAGAGGAGGAAAGGTCGAAATGGGGCTGCAGAGTAGCAGAAGATGGAGAAAACTGGAGTAAGTCAGATCGACTGAAGCCATCTTTTCCACCCATCGCCATCTTTTCCACCCATCGTCTACAGATACCAGTAATTGATTCCCTCCAACATGGGAATCCTAAAATGTGATGGGAAGTACCACGTATATGCATAGTATCCACACGCGTTTTTGAACACACTCTTCAAAGTTTGGAAGCATTCAGTTCCACCTACCCTCTGTAGCCCCTTTTTGGAGGGGAATAAGCTTCTCATTTAGAAACAGGATTTTAGACTTCGTGACATAAGCCTGTTGAGAGACAAGATCCACTTCGAAATTAAGACATCCCCTCAGTCACAAAACCACAGTAACACCGCTAATAAAAATAATGTGTTCAGTTGCATATAAAACGTCCTGAGTTGTTCATTTGGTGGAAAGGTACATAGAGATAGTTGTCATATGTAGAGAAATGACCTTCCAGAACTCAATCCCTGAAGCAGTTTGGTAAACCCTATCTGCCATGTTTGAATTTCTCCCATTATGTAAACTTGATTTTATTCTGATGACTTGCTTTTATAGGATGTTTTTGTCCACTATAAACATTAAAATAATTATAGAGCGTAGTATTAAGACATTCTATAATATTATACTAAGAAAATGCCACATTCTTCTGAATAAGCAATAGCTTGACCCTGAAGGCTTAACCATGTGTTAAGCACTGTGCTGAAAGCTTTATATTCATTACCTCATTCTTAAAACAACCTCTTGAGATAAGTGTTTTTATTCCTGATTTATTGGTGGGAAAACAAATGTAGGTTAAATTACGCATTGTCACACATAGAATAGGTGGCAGAATCACAGAATCCAGGTCTGACGAGTGCTTCCCTGTATCCTTAAACAAAATAATTTTAATTTTGTATTTAATATTTAACAATTCAGAGACCAGAGGATAAGGGAGTTACATTTTGTCTGAGATTAAATTGAACCACAAAGAATGTCCTGTATTCTCTTGGCTTTTTTTCTTCCACACTAAGGAGCAGAGGTTTGGGGTAAAGTTTTGAATTCTGGAGGTGGCATTGAATAGATTTCCAACAGTTTGGAACACCTAAATATCAATTGGATGTGATAGAAAGCAAGCTTTCCAGTGTCCTGGTGGTTGGGACGGGGGGGGGGGGGGGGGGGG